GGCAGGTAGCGACCGGCCCGCCGGGGACGGCCGCTTTGCGGGGCGGCCCCCGCCCACCACCTCCGCCCCTCCGGACCACGGACCCGAGGAAGGGCTGGGGGAGGAGGAGGAGAAGAGGGTTATTTCTATGCAAAACGCCGCTTGCGCCTTACTCCTGGCCCGGTTTCTTCGGGCGCGGTCCGGTCCCGAATAAAGCCGTAGCAAAGTGGGCGCTGTGGTCTCGTTTCCTGGGGGCCGGGGCCGGGCAGCAAACCCACCGGCAGCTGGTTTTGCCGCTGTCGCAGCGGCACCGAGAGGTACGGCCTTTCCACAGCTATAGCTGTCAACTTCTTGGCTGGTGCATTTCAGCTCCTGCTGAGCTTTGCTAGTGGGGTGAGAAAGGGGAAGGTCTCGGTGTTTGATAACCCCTTTAGTAGAATGGCCAACTGCTTTTCTTCCCAGCACTGGCTAGAGTCCTCTCTCTGAAGAAAAGACATGAGAAAAAGACTCTCTGTATACCTGAAACAGGCAGCTGCTGCTGTTTGCACTTGCGTGTTGCATCTAACAAGGACATCTGATTTTGATGCAAGTTCCCTGTTCACTTCATATTACGGCTTTCATAGTTTGTGGTGTAAGCAAAAAAGATTTATTATTTCTAGCAGGTAATACACATTTTTCTTTATCCATCATTTTGAAAAAGATTAGGGTGAGTGTGCAGCAGACATGGAAATGCAAGAGGCCCTCAGGCAGAAGGGGGTTTGCCCTGTCCTTGGATTCAGTCCTTCTAGCACAGCACAGCTGACAATACTTCTCACCATCATCCCACAGACTGTCAGGTATACTTCTTGTATGATCCACTGGTATTTTCAAGATATAGATCACTGCATTAAAACAAATGATTAATTCATAGTGAAAAGCAGCTGGTAGAGCTTATACCTATGAAGACTGAGGTGTGAAGAAAAGTCACAAATTGTTGTTTCAAATCCCGTTTAGTTATGCCTTTTCTAATTTAAGTTACACAGGGTGTTCAGGCTTGACTTATCCAATGTTCCATCATTGGTTAGGGAAACAAAAGGAAGTGTCCTTTATTGAATTTAATTGGACTGGAAAGAGAATAGTAGATTAAAGCACACTTAATATGTTAAGATGTTAAGCATCTCTCAGTAGGTCTCCACAGCACTCTCTTAGCTTCTAGTGTTGGGCTCTTGTATAAATTCCAAATGCTGCTATTTAAAGACAAGCACAGAATTTTTGGATTTGCACATACTCCACCATCCTTTTGTAAAAACCCCTCAGAGTTCTCACTGATTCCTTCTGACTCTATACAAACAACACGCTGCGTTTTGGTTTTGCTTAACATAGCCTCTGCAAGTTCAAAGGCCTTTTTGTGGTGGGCACAGAGTTGCAAATTTATCTTCTTTTGGAGAACCATGAACTGAGAGTCTTCCCATTCTTAGAAAGTGTTCTTCTAATTACAGAGTAAGAAGTAGTCAGGTGATACTTAAATACACAAGTAAGTGACAGAATTTTGTGAGTTGAAACTTTATTCACAAGGATAAAAATAAACATAACTAACATTTACAGGGAGTTGATAATCTGACATCTTGTACAGTTAGATTCTGTGGGTATTTTTTAAAACAAGGAAATACATGCAAATAAATATTAAATATAAGGTAACATCCATGAAATTATAAAACTTTATAGCAGCAATGCTGGAAATGAAGTTTTCATTTGCTATAAACTCTAGTTACATTATGTCCAGGTGAATTTATAGACTCTTCTATTTAATGCTTCTTGAAACAATTTACCACAATAAGTGAGCATGAAGCTGAAAGGCACAAGAAATAAAAATTCACACAGTTCATCTGTTCCAGTGCTTTGTGTTGCTTTGCTTATTTCATGCTACTCAAATAAATGCACAATATAAATTCAACAAAGGCTTGTAAAAGGTTTAACTAAAGTAGATAAAAGTATGATGGAGAAATTGGTGTTTAGGCCTTGCTGAAAGTACTTCTTAAAATACGCAGTTACTGTAATTCTGCTTTGGAGGCAATTACTTTCACTGAGTCGTTCCCTCAGTACTTAGAGGGGATTTACAAGGATTTGAAGGAGTGGGAGCTTAATCAGAGAGGGAAAAAAAAAATTCCACTACAACCCTCTGCTTGGCTAAGATCTCACTTTGTCATCTTATTTTTCTCTTGGATTCTAACAAAGCAGAAGTTACAAAGGTAAATTTGACGTCTGGTGCTGGAGCTATTCTCATGGGCCCAAAGCCCCCAGTTCTTAAGTGACAAAGGAGGGGCAAACAGAGCCGAGTAACTCAAAAGCATATCAAACTGTTGCAAGGACTGTGTTGCTGTTGTGACAGCAACTAAGTACAGGTTTATTACTATACATGTAAATACTCTTTATTCCTATGTCTGTCTTCTTTCATTTGTTACATATAGTTTTTCCAGCCTAATAGTGAGTTGAAACACCTCCGCAACTTCCTATTGTCATAGCAAAACTATCATCTTGCTAACATCTGCACAAATAGCAGAAGCATTTTTTTTCCAGGTTTGCACACAACTAAGCAGGGCCCTGGAAAACTAGCACCCACTCTTGAATATTCATGAGTGAAACTATTCCCTCCAGTGTGCATTATCATACAGCTGTAAATTTCATCTGTCATCATGCTGCCTGTTCACCTACCGGTGACTAACTTTATCAGTCTTTTCCTATTCAAAGCACTTAAGGGTAGATGTTAAACAGAAACATCAAGCATACTCTCTACGTACAGAAGGCTAATTAACTTGCAGGACAGCAGTTAACATACGCACGTAGTAGTCAGGTATTGTATTGATGGTGACACAACATAGAAGCTAGTTATTAAATTTACAGAAGAACCTGAGGTGCTTTATTCCAAGGTCAGCTCTGCAACTGATGTGAGGAAGGCACGGCCTGGAAGCGGCCTGCGTAGAAGCCAGCATGCTTAACGTACATAAGCTGGCCCGAGAACTGTGGTGGATTGCTACAAACATGTCTGACTTGCCCCCTGGAGCTCAATTACAAGCATTATAGCAGAAGAAGGTAACCCATCCTCTCTAATTCAATTCTAACCTGATGATTGTAAAACTAATCCACCCTGTTGGCAATTTGGATTCTAATACAATGATTAAATAATGCCATGCAAAGCAATCTAGCTTCAGGCAGGAAAGATGCTGAATTACATCCCAGAATATCCATCCAGTCCACTTTCTTGGCAATGGGGGATGTGAATGCAAGCACAAAGAGACTTGAAAACTTGTTTTTTTTTTTCCCCTCTCTGCAGTCTATCTGCTACGCCATGGAAGTTAGTGATTACAAGGCGGCTATGGACAGGGATATTCTCCGAGCTAGTCTTTGGCACCTTGCCTCTTTGTTGTATAGGGAGCCCGACTAACAGCCAAGTAAAGACATGTAAAGCTTGTTACTAAGTGATGCAATGCATCACGTCCTGCTTGTAAAGGTACCACTCCTTTTTTACCCCAGCAACTCTTGTAAACATCAGGGAGGGTAACAGACAATAAGCAGTGTAGACATGTTCACTGCAAGAGCCCTCACAGTTTGAACCAGAGAAAAACCCATTGAGTTTAGGATAGTAGTCTGGGAGGGGGATATTTTTTGAAACCCGCTGACGGCGGGCAGGCTGTGGAGGCGAAGGAAGAGGAGAAGGAGGAGAAGGAGGAAGAGAAGGAGGAGAAGGAGGAAGAGGAGGAGAAAGAGGAGGAGGAGGAGAAGAAAGAGGAGGAGAAGGAAGAGGAGGAGGAGGAGAAGGAAGAGGAGGAGGAGGAGAAGGAAGAGGAGGAGAAGGAAGAGGAGGAGAAGGAGG